GAAGACTACAGCTTGTGGGTGGTCCAGCATCAGGTGTCCTTGTCCTTATGCATTGGGACTCTGTTTTTATAAGAAATGCTGCCTATTTTGTAATCTTTCTCATCAGTTTCTCAGTTGTGGAACTTGAGGCAAAGTAGAAGGTTAACGGGCTCTTTGGGTAGCATTGTGATGATGAGAGTTGGGAGAGTAGGTGTCCAGTTTCCCCCAATTCTAAGGAAATACTGGGCTTCACGAGGCCTGGATTCTAATTACTATCATATAGTCATAGAATTTTAGAGCTGAAGAGGACCAAACTTCAATAAGACATCTGAGGCCCAGAGAAGTTAAATTATTTGTCCACAGTCACACAGTTGGAAGTGTCAGAGCTGACACTATAATTTAGGCCTACTAAGTTAATAGTACGGTGTCCTATTCATTTTCTGTTCTTGGGCAAATTACCCAATTTGAGCCTTAATTTCCTTTTCTCTAAAATGAAGACATTTGATTAGATTGTCACTAAAGTCCTTTCTGATTACCCTCTTTATCCCCTCCCAGATCACTGCCTTATCATGGCAGAGGGGCTTGCATAGTTCAGTGAAACTATGAGCTATGCTGTGCAAGGTCACTCAAGATGGACAGGTCATAGTGGAGAGTTCTGACAAAAGGTGATTCATTGGAGAAGGAAATGACAAACCACTACAATATCTTTGCCAAGAAAATTCCATGAACAGCATTAAAATGATAAAAGATATTACACTGGAAGAAGAAACCCCTCACCCCCATGTCAGAAGGTGTCTGGTGTGTCTGACTGAGCAAGAGCAGAGGGCAACAACAAGTAGCTCCAGTACTAATGAAACAACTGGGTCAAAGCCGAAAGGAAGCTCAGCTGCGGATGTGTCTGGTGACGAAAGGAAAGCTCAGTGCTGTAAAGATCAATGTTGCATCTTGGGTGTCAGTGAACTTAAATGTATGGGAATGTGATCATTACACATACTACTGTAGGCAAGAATCGCTTAGAAGAAATGGAGTAGCCCTCATAGTCCATAAAAGGGTGAGGAGAGCAGTAGTAGGGCATAATCTCAATAATGACTGAATGATATCTGTTTGAATTCAAGGCAAACCGTTCAACATCACAGTAACAACAAGTCTATGCTCCAACCACAGATGATGAAGAGGCCAAAGCTGATCAGTTCTGTGAAGACCTGCAACATCTTGTAGGAATAACACCAAAAAAAAAGGTCACATTCACCATAGGAGATTGAAATGCCAAAGTAGGGAATCAAAAGATAATTGTAATAACAGGCAAGTTTGACCTTGGAGTACCAGGACAGAGGCTAATAGAGTTTTGTCACGATAACTCACTGGTCGTAACAAACACTATTTTTCACAACCCAAAAGGTGACACTGCACATAGACATCACAGTATGGTCAATATTAAAATCAGATACTTTGTGACCAAAGGTGGAGAAGCTCTATATAGTCAGTTAAAAGAAGACTTGGAGCCGATTGTGGCTCAGATCATGAGCTTATTATACAAAATACAGACTTAAATTGAAGAAAGTAGGGAAAACCATCAGACTGCATAGGTAAAACCTAAATAACATCCTTTATGAATAGGAAGGAGAAGTGATGAACAGATAGAAAGGATGGGATCTGGCATAAAGTGTCTGGAGAGCTATGGACAGGAGGCAGCCAGAAAAAACATTCCAAAGAAAAAGAAGAGCAAGAGTGCAAAATGGCGGTGTTGTGAGGCTTTCCAGATAGCCGAGGAAAGAAGGAAAGCGAAAGGGAAAGAGATGTCCAACTGATGGCATAATTCCAGAAAATAGCAAGGAGAGATAAGGTTTTTTTAACTAAGCAGTGCAAGGAAATCAAAGGAAACAATAGAATGGGAAAGACGAGATCTCTTCAAGAAAATTAGCCTTCAAGGGAACATTTCATGCAAAAATGGGCATGATTGAAGACAAAAATAATATGGATTTAACAGAAGCAAAAGAGATTAAGAAGAGGTGGCAAGAATACACAAAAGAACTATACCAGAAAGATCTGAACACCACCAGTGACCGTGATAGTGTGGTTACTGATCTAGAGCCAGACATCCTGGAGAGAGAGGTCAAGTAGGTCTTTGGAAGCATTGTTAACAGTAAGTCTAGAGGAGGTAATGAAATTCCAGCTGAGCTATTTAAAACCCTAACCAATGATGCTGTTAAAGTACTGTCCTCAATAATTTGGAAAACACAACAGTGACCACTGAATTGCAAGAGATCAATTTACATCCCAATCCTAAAGAAAGGCAATGCCAAGGAATGTTCAAATAACCAAACAATTGCACCCATGTCACATGCCAGCAAAGTTATGCTTAAGAGTCTGCAAGCTAGGCTTCAGCATTATGTGAACCAAGAATTACCAGAAAAGCAAGTTGGTTTGTGAAGAGACAGAAGAACTAGAGACCAAATTGCAAACTTTTGCTGGATTATGGAGAAAGCAAGGGAGTTCCAGAAAAACATCTACTTCTGCTTTATTGACTACACGAAAGCCTTTGACTGTGTGGATCACAACAAAATGTGGCAAGTCCTCAAAGAGATGGGAGGACCAGATCATCTTATTTGTCTCCTGAGGAGCTTGTGTGCAGGCCAAGAAGCAACACTTGTAACCGAACATGGTAAAAACTGATTGGTTTAAGATTGGAAAAGGAGTACGACAGGGCTGTATATTGTCACTTTATTTGTTTAACTTATGTGCAGAGTACATCATATGAAATACCAGTCCGGATGAATCAAAGGCTCAAATTAAGATTGCCAGGAGAAATATCAATAATCTCAGATATGCAAATGATACCACTCTGATCGCAGAGAGTAAAGAAGAATTGAAAAACCTCTTGATGAGTATGAAAGAGGAGAGTATGAAAGTTGACTTGAAGCTTAACATCAAAAAACCTAAAGATCTTGGCAACGGATCCAATCACTTCCTGGCAAATAGAGGGAGAAGAAATGGAAGCAGTATCAGATTTTATATTCTTGGGCTCAGAGATCACTACAGATAGTGAATGCAGCCATGAGATTAAAAGATGCTTGCTTCTTGAGAGGAAAGCTATGAGGTATCTGGACAGCATACTAAAAAGCTGAGACATCACCTTGCCAACAAAGGTACAGTCAAAGATATGGTTTTTCCAGTAGCAACATGTGGCTGTGAGAGTTGGACTATAAGGAATAGACTGCAGAATTGATGCTTTTGAAGACATTTGAGAGTCCCTTGTATAGCAAGGACATCAAATCAGTCAATACTTAAAGAAATAAATTCAGGCTATTCACTGGAAGGCCAAATACTGAAGTTGCAGCTTAAATACTTTGGCTATATAATGAGAATATAGGACTCCTTGGAAAAGACCCTGATGCTGGGAAGGATTAAAGGCAAAAGGAAAAGGGGATTGCTGAGGATAAAATAGATAGATTGTGTCATGGAAACAACAAATATGAACTTGGAAAGATTTTGAGAGATAGTGGAAGATAGAAAAGCCTGGTATGCTGTGGCCCATGGGATCATGAGGAGTCAGACATGACCAAACAACAACAGCAAAGTCTTTTCCAGCTCTAAAATAATTTGATTTTACGTATAAGTTTTTCAGACTGGTTGATGTTTACCCTACAGGCTCACTTTTACCTTCTAAGAAACTAAGAGAGGTAAATTAAAAAAAAAAATTCACTCATGAGCATTAAAGAACTACTTTCAAATGTAGCTCACTTAGGTTACTGATAACCATTTTAGGAACTGCCTTCTTGCCTGACATCCTTAGTTCTTTTCTTCTTAATGAATAAAAATCTTTGATAGAACTTAGGTTCAAGCTAAGGTGGGGAGGCCCTTGGGTGACCAAGGTAAATGTGGTGATATTACCAATATGTACCAGTTGGCAGTCTGAGTCATGCTATTCCAAGACAATGGTATTTGATGTCTTGGGTGTGTATACAGTAGTAGCTGGTCTCATGAACTAATAGTATCATGTTTCTGGGGCATGCAGGAGGTCTTCAGAGAACAGCAAATGTGTCCTGGCATTGACAGATTAGACCATTTTGTGTTCAGTGGTATCAGCTAAGGTTAAACCTAAACAAATAGGAGCAACTGGAAGGATTTGAAGGGAGTGAAATGTTCACATTCTTAAGTCTGTACTCGCTGAGGAAGGATGAGGCGTGGAGTTCACAATCCCCTGGGGAAGGAAACAGTTATTTCTCTGCTGTTTTGTTTTGCACATTTAGGTTGAAGCATTCCAGAAGTTGCAGGTTGTGTATCATGGCCTCCAACTTTTCCCTGTCTTTCCTTGCCAAAGGAAGGGAGGGTCAATCTAAATAACACTTTGGCCTTTATGGAAATGTATCAGATGTTCCAGGAGTCAGTCTTGCTAGTTAGTCCTAGCAAGAACTCCTGTGCTCTCTCGCGCTCTCTCTCTCTCTCTCTCTCTCTCTCTCTCTCTCTCTCTCTCTCTCTCTCTCTCTCTCTCTCTCTCTCTCTCTCTCTCTCTCTCTCCCCCTCTATCCCCCTCCCTCTTGCCCTCTTTTTTCTTCTCCCTCTCCCTTTTTCTTTCCCCCTTTCCCTCCCCTGTTTCCACACTCCAGTAGCATTCCCTCTCTTTTCTCTTTCTGACACTCTCACTTTCACTCTCCCTCTCCCGTGTTCAAATACTTTCTCTCACTTGTGTTTTCTCTGTAGGATATTGTTAACACCTCTTCGGGCCTTATATAGCAAGGTCTGATTGTTAATGTTCACAGAAATAAAACAACAAGGAAAGCTGCCAGATTGCATAAATCAGGCCAGTGTTTGGAATTTCATAAATGCAGTGACTTTGGGTACAAATTGAGCATTGAGAACAATACAGAACTGTTCTTCTCCCTCTGTTTTTCTCTTTTCCTTGCTCTTTCTGCCTTTAAGTCTCCATCCTGTTCCCCTACCCTCCTCTTACTTGGAAACTTGTGACTTCATTGTCTTTTGCTGAGTTTAATTTTTTATTTTTCTTTCTTCATCTACTCTAGACCACGGAAGGAGCAGGGGCATCCGGAGCCAGGACTCTGTAGAGGGACTAGACGGGCAGGTCCCAGAGCAGTTCTCAGGTCTTCTGCACGGCTCTTCTCCAGTGTGTGAAGTCAGTGAGGACCCTTTCCAGCTTCTTTCCTCTGTCAGCCAGGGTGGCTCTGAAGGGTCATCCAGGCAGAGCACAAGTCAAGAAGCTGCTATGCAACTGGAGGATGCTGCTTTGCACACTCCTGGATCTACCCGGCCCAGCCTTCCTGACCAAAATAAGAAACTGGGTTATTCAACTGGCCTGCCTACCAACCACAGCCAATCGGACCCTGAAACTTTGATGCATGAAATATCTCAGCACCCTGGTGGTGCCGAGGAAGCAGGAGACTGGAGTGGGACCAGGAGCTGGGCCCCTCCCACTAGCAGACCAAAAGCTGAACTTAAACTGAGCCGCAGTTTGTCCAAGTCAGACTCTGATCTCCTGACCTACTCACCAACAGAAGATACCACAATGGGGAGTAGGAGCGAGTCCTTATCCAACTGCAGCATTGGGAAGAAGCGGCTGGAAAAGTCTCCGTCCTTTGCCTCAGAGTGGGATGAGGTAAGGCTGAACTCAAATCATAATGTATTTGGCTCTAGGATACTTGGTTTTTGTACTAAGTCTGTGAGGTATCTCAGTGCATTGACTTCTGGGATAGGCAGGGAGTGGTTCTGCTTTGTGGTTCTGCTGAAAGATAAACCCTCTTCATTCCCTGAGTAAGCCCCCAAGCCCCATTCTGTATTCTCCCCTCCCTCCAGCATTTTGGAGTTTCACTACATATCGGTGCAGATCTAATCCATTAATAGTTAACTGTTAGGACTACAGGCTTCATTGGCAAAGGCTGAAGGAGGCACATACAACTCACAGAAATGACATGCTATTTCAAAATATTTGGATCCCTTCATCTCTGTTGCAGTAATGAGTGTCTCACTCCCTGGGAATTTGAGAAGCATTAGTATATGTTCTCTGAGTCCTGGGGAGAGAGAGGAAAGACCTAGAATCTTAGAGCAGCTGTGTCCTATTGCTGGACCATATGTCAGATTGGGGGATGGGGGTGGGGGGAGTTTAGGGGAAGCATACTGACATAGTGGATGTATAAGAAGGCTGTTTCATCCCTCACCTGCCACATGAATGTATTTGCCCTATTCTCATGAAAGAATAAACCCTTCCTCTAGGACATGAGTTCTGCCCATTCCACATTCTCAGAGTTTGTGAGGCAAGGACTATGTGGTTAAGAGGAGATAGGAGTTTTAAAGGAGGAGAAAGAATTTAGAGATTGTGACACAGGATATTCGGATCTAATGACTTTCTAACAGAAATGTTGCAAAATTGTTGACAACTTGTACATGAATGTTTTCTAGTGGCCTGTGACAGGTTTCAAGAGAAAAAAAAATGTATTTACCAAAGGCTGTTAAACACTCGGGGAATGTTAAAGAGCTGTTTCTTATGGTGAGGAAACTGCCTTTGAAATGCCTCCTGGGCCTGCCTCCCAGTAGCATTTCTAAGAGATGAATTTAGCTCTCTGATCAAAGAGGAACTGTACAGCTGACATGACCCGTTAAAGAGGCTAAGTGTAAGATCCAACCAAGTTAGAGAAGGTGGCAGTTATAGCCTCCAAACCAAAATCACTTCCTTTCTAGGTATAGGAAAAAGAATATGTTTAAATTGGGGGCTTAAAATCGTAAATTTTGAACTGGAAGGAACCTTGAATGTCATGTAGTCCAACTTCCTCTCCTTTTGTTTAAAAATTATATTACTGTCTTTTCTTTTTATATCACTTATATCTCCCTATTTTTCCTCCCACTTCAGAGTGCCATCTTTTTTTAACAAAAACGAGTAAAAAAGAAAAACAAGGGGAAAAAAAACCACAGTTCAATAAAACTTGCCAAGATATCAACCAAATGTAACATTATACATTGTGTTCCACAACTCTATTCCTCGCCTTTAGTCAAACACTTTGAAAAGGAAGATAGATTCTCCTATGTGGGGGCCAACCATGGTCATTATAACCTTGCAGCCTTCAGTTTAGATGGTTTTATTGTTGCTGTTCTTGTTTGACCCTGTCATTAGGTATGTTGTTTTCCTGGTTCAGCTTATTTTACTTTGTCTCCATTGGCACAAGTCTTCCCACTCTTCTTTGTGTTCATAACTTCTTACTGCACAGCAGTATTCCATTACATACATTCACCACAACTTGTTTTAGCTCTTCCCCCAATTAGTAAACGTCTACTTTGTTTCCAGTTCTTTACTAGTACAAAAAAATGCTGCTATAAATTTTGGTGTATGAGGCCTTTCTTTTTATCACTTAACCACTTGGACTATATACCTAGCAGTGAAATTGATTTCTGGGTTAAAGGGTGTAGACATTTTAGTCATTTCTTTGCATAATTCCAAATTACTTTCCAGATTGATTGGACCAATTTGTAGCTCCACCAATGGAGCATTATTATGTCTGTCTTTCTACAAACACTTTCAACAATGACCGCTCCCACCCTTGGTTATCTTTACCAATTTGCTGAGTGTGAAGTGAAAACTCGGAATTGTTTAGATTTATATTTCTTTTGTTAATGATTTGGATCAGTCTTTCATGTGGTATTTAATAGTTTTCAAGTCTTCTGTTGAGAACTGTATGTTTATCACCTCTGGTCACTTTTATGTACTGGCCAATGTCCTCATTCTACAGAGGAGGAAACAGAAGCTCAGAACAACCTGGGCCTTTTGTTCCATATGCAGTACTTTTTTCAGTTCCCTGCATTACCACTTAACACCTTTCACCTTTCCAGCTTTATTGTACCTTACTGTCCTTTCCATAGTCTCTAGTCCAACCAAACAAGCCTTTCTGGGCTATCCTTGACTCATGGCACTCTTCCATCTCCATGCCTTTGTACTGACTGGCATTCCCTCCTTTGTCTCTTAAAATCCCTCATTTCCGTCAACACTCAGCTCAATCACCAGCTTCTATATGAAGTCTCTTCTGAGCCAGGGCCTTCTCTTCCCTACCAAAATTACCTTGCATTTATTTTCGAATATACTTGAATACATGTTGTCTGCCTGGATAAATTGTAAGCTCCTTCAGGGTAAACAAGTCATTCAGGACTTGTTTTTTGGTTTTGTCTTTGTACAAAAGTATAGCGCCTAGGCTATATAGTACAGGCATACCTCGTTTTGTTGCACTTTGCTTTGTTGCATTTCACAAATATTGTGTTTTTTACAAATTGAAGGTTTGTGGAAATCTTGCAGCAAGCACGTCTGTTGGCACCATTTTTCCAACAGCTTGTGCTCCCATCATGTCTCTGTGTCACATTTTGGTAATTCTTGTAATATTTCAAACTTTTTCATTATTATTATAATATCTGTTATGGTGATCTTTGATATTACTATTGTAATTATTTTGGGGCACCACAAACTGCACCCATATAAGACAGTGAACTTAATTGAGAATGTTGTGCGTATTCTGACTGCTCCTCAGATTGGCTGTTCTCCTGTCTCTCTCCCTGTCCTTGGGCCTCCCTATTCCCTGAGTCACAACAATGTTGAAATTAGGCCAATTAATAACCACATGATGGCCTCTAAGTGTTCAAGTGAAAGGAAGAGTCAATCAGTGCAGCAAACTTCATTGTTGTCTTATTTTTAAAAATTGCCACAGTCACTTGAGTATCCACCACCCTGATTAATAAGCAACCATTAACATCAAGGCAAGACCCTCCATCAGCAAGATGATGGTTGGCATTTTTAAACTTTCAGGTATTTTTAAATTAAGACATGTACATTTTTTTAGACATACTCTTGCACACTTAATAGACTACAGTGTAGTTTAAACACAACTTTTATTTGCACACTAGGAAACTAAATAAAATTGTGTGAATTGCTTTATTGCAATATTCACTTTATTGCTGTGGTCTAGAATCAAACTCAAAATATCTCCAAGGTATGCCTGTAAACACTTAATGAATGCTTATTAATTGATTTGATTCCTCCTTTCTAAGATATAGTTAGCCTAGGACAAAGCAATCTTATGCAAAAGAAATTTTTCATCACTGCATTGACTCCTACAATTATGGTTAGAAGAAAATTTTCTTCAAGAATTAGAGAATCTTTAAAATAATTTAGAAATCTTTTAAAGTGTGTGCTAGTACTTTCTAGAAAACACTGTCCTAACTTCCCTTCCTTGTTGTCCCCTCCATCCCATTCTCTTCAGTCATCATCCTAGGTTTCTCTCTCAGGGAATATGCCTAAGCCAGTCTAATAAATTACTACTTCTTTATAGTTACCTTTTTCTAAATGTTTTTTAACTTATTAATAGGTGGGATCAACATTGCTAGGAATAGGGGTTAAGTTCCTGAGGAAGAGGCTATTTAGTTAGTAGCCTGTAAGGTTGACTCTGCTATTGCAGTTGGTCTGTGAACCTTACTATTGCCCCAAATGGTAGTACAAAATCCCAAAGCAGAAGCCCAAATTTTGGAGTAAATTTTAGCTACTAGATTAGAAATGACACTTTTTTGCTTTGTAATGGCTTTGCAAAAAATAGACTTACATGCTTATTTCTCCTCTGCAATTAGACAGTGGTAATAGGTCAGTGTTGGACATTATTTGAATATCATTTAATTTCAGCAGACATTTAAAACAACTTCTGGGTAAAGAATACTAGGCTCGGCTGTGGGGGATATATAAAGTTGAGATAAGACATGGTTCCTGCCTTTATTAAGCTTACAATTTACAATAGCAGTTTAATTGTGTTTGAGATTTAGTTTAACTTCTGACAGTTCTACAGTGTGGCTGGTCTTGAATTTTTATTAAAAACTAGCTATGTTATATCTATATATAGCCATGTGCACACACATAAATTTATACAGACAATGTGAGTCCCCTGGTCAGGGCTTTTATATATGATTCTCTCTCTTCCCCCCCCCCCCCCAAATTATTTATTTTTAGCATTTATTTAAAGATTTTTTTTGAGTTCAAAATTCTCTCCCTGCCTTTAGCCCCTCCCCCACTCATTGAGAAGGCAAGCAATATGATATCAATTATAAATGTGAAATCATGCAAACTATTTCCATTTTAGCCACACTGCAAAAAAAAAGGAGCAAAACAGCAAAAATAAAATAAAAAAGTATGCTTCAGTCTTCACTCAGAGTTCATTAGTTCTCTCTCTAGAGGTGGATAGCATTTTTCATCATGGGTTCTTTGCAATTGTCTTAGATTGTTTTATTGATCAGAATTACTAAGTCTTTCCTAGCTGATTATCATGATAGTATTGCTGTTACTGTGTAGAGTGTTTTCCTGGTTCTGCTCACTTCACTTTGCATTGGTTCATACAAATATTACCCTGTTTTTCTGAAATCATGCCCTTCATCATTTCTTACAGCACAATAGTATTCTATTACATTCAGCCTTTCCCCAGTTGATGGGCATTTCCTCAGTTTCTAGCTCTTTGCTACCACAAAAAGAATGGCTATAAATATTTTTGTACATGAGAGTTCTTTTTTCTTTGATCTCTTTGAGATATAGATCTGATATTGCTGGGTCAAAGGGTATGCACAGTTTTAGAAATTTTTGAGCAT